CAGGGAGGGAATGGGATTTGCTAAGTTTAAAACTGGAGCCGAGATGGAGCCAGAAGCAGCCCAGGCTACTTGACCTACCCCTCTGGAGGCCCCCCCCACCTCATGGGCCTGTGTGACCGAGGGCCCCAGGCTCGTCTCTCCTGGTCCAGTGACACCTGGCAGAGCTCACCTAATACATAATCCAAATGCGCTGCACTTTAGAGTTAGTCTAATAAGCGTTTACTGTGCATCCACACGTGCCCGACACGGCCCTGTGCACATACTGTAGGGAAAACAGTGTCCCGTGAGCTGGCCCCTGTGGGCGCGGAGTCCAGCCGGTTGTAGAATTTGTCTACAACAGATCTATTCTGTATGCTAAACGTCCAGACAGACTCAGTCTACAGAGAGAGGTGGGAGACAGCCCTGGGCTGGGCCAAGGGCAGAGGGTGGAGAGGGAGGGGAGGGTTCTGGGAGTCACTGGTTCAATGTCCCTTTGTCGAGGGTCCACCGCGTCCCAGGGACTGTGCTGGAGACAGTGCTTTGCACCGGTTGTCACCTTGAAAGCAGACAGATACCTTAGGATGTGGGCGCTATTTTCTCTGTTTTGGAGATATGGAAACCTAACCTTGGGGAAGAAAGGTGCTTGTAGATTTCATGGTTGGAAAGTGGTGCAGCTGGGATTTGACCCAAGTCCACCGTTCACACATGTACGTCTTGGCTGCTTCTGGGCGTCAGGAATCCTGCCGAACGTCTCCTGAGGTCACGCTCTCACTCCTCAGTCCCATGTCCCTTGTTCTGTGAAGCCTTCCTGCCCTCTTTTTTTTTTTTTTTTTTTTGAGTTCCCACAATACCTAACACAGAACCAGCCAGACTGTGGGCTCCTTGTGGCCCGTGGCCTTCTGTAACTCGACACCCTGGCACAAAGAGATTTTGGACAAAGTGACCTTCTACCCTGGCGATTATCACGGAGTGTCCTGACTGCTTACTTTTTAAAATTCTACTTGTAGTCACTTTAAATTTCTCTATTGGAAAGTGCATTTACTACGCCAAGCAGTTCACCAGAGGCCTTTCTTCTTTCTGGAGCCTTATCATTTATAGTTCTGTCCGTGTGGCTATGAGACCAAGCCCTGCTCTGTGGCCTCATTCATGAGTGGTCTTACAGAGTTTATAGCATTAACTTTGAACTGAATATTGTATTAACGCCTCTGTTGCTTTTGAGCCAGGGGTTGTGTCTGAAACAAATGTCAGTCTGTTAAATGGCATCATTTTTGCAGTATTTTGTGTTGCTGTGTTCCATCACTAGGGGGTGATAGCATGAGCCATCAGTTTGTGTCTTTGGCATTGACCTTGGCGCTGTGTGTGTCAGTGGGCTATGGTGTATCAGCTAGGAAGCAGAAGGTAGGAGGACTTGGCGGAAAAAATTTGGGCCCTAGCACATATAGTAAGACTCTGGAATCGTTGCTGTGGTTGACAAAACACTGGGCTCTCTGGACTTGGCTGTGACCACTTGCCTGGTGACCTTGAGCAAGTCACTGCCCTTGCTAGACCTCCTTGCGTAGCACGAAGGAGTGGAACCACACTGATGACAACGTCATCTCTGACTCTAATTCCTTCGGCATCTAAATTCGTCTGAAAGCCAACTAGCGGAAGGGCCCTTCGATGGCATTCTGTGCAGTTCCATTTTGCTGCGTTTCAGCCAAGCTCATGTTTTCAGAGACACATCAACGCTGCTCAGTCCCATCTGTGTAGTTCTCGGTCTTTTCTTGGGTAGTTTATTGTATTTTGTTCTACATCCATTCTCGTGTATGATGTGCTCAATACCTCGGAGGAAATCGGTTTAGAGTTTCTGCCTGGTTCACGTCTAAGGCAGAGAGAGATTCCTTTCAGCCTCCTATTTGCAGTTTAGGAAGCAAAACCACACCACCTTTGAATATGACTGCGCCCTCATCTGAAAAGAAGCCGGCTTCTTTTCAATCTGTGGTTAATGCTAATGGCTCGTCACAAACAACTTACACTGTGTATATATTCTCCCCTCAAGGAAAACTTTTATCCATTTTTGGAGATGAAAATAAAGTCAAGCTTCAGGGAAGATAAGTTCTTGAAATCTGATGGTTTCCAGATAATGTCAGAATATGATTATAAGAAAACTAACATGAAATGTACATTAACATAAGTCTATAACTGCTCAACTTGATGGAAAATATCACCATAAAGTTCTGCCATTACTGAGTCACCAGATATGTTTTTTCTACGACATTTTATGAGAATGAATAAATTATCTGAGAATGTGTTTGCATCAAAACCACAGAAGTTTGTGATAAACACATAAATCATTGAAGCATTTTCTAGGAAGATGCCTGATCTTAAAAACAGAGGGAACTCATATTAACTTCCCCCTTCTCAGCCTCCTCTTCTGTGTAGCGCTTCAAAGCTCTGGGTGGTGATGAAGAGCCATTGATTATGGAAGATTAGGAGGAGATAAAGAGAACTATTCCTATCGAGGTTTTCCACCCAAGCTCTCCCCACGAGCCTCCAGGTCTGTAAGCCCTGTTTTCATTAAGTTCCTGTTTGTGGTTATGGCCTCAGTTTACATTGGGGTCTATTTCTGTAGCCGTGTTACCCATATACCAGCCAACATCTCCTACAAAACTGGTAGCACTACCTTAACTCTGAAAGCCAGGTCCTTGTTGCTCTCCCTGGAAACTTGTTTGCTTTTTGTGCTGTGGGCAATTGATGTACATAAAGAAGCAGGGTCCCTTTTTTGCTAAGACCACCGAGAAGCTTGGAGGCAATTCGATATCTTAATCTTAATAGGATGGAGAGATGTGTGCCTGAGGATCCTGAATTTTATCTTTGTCATATAGTCTATCTAGATTTTTCTACAATTTTTATTTTAATTTTCTTCTATTTTACTGTGCAAGTTTTTGTTAACTCCTCCAAAATCTTTATGTGACTAGGCGAGGGGTAGATAAATAGATGAATGGACACTTGTGATATTGTGACTTACAATAAGTACACATTTGGTCTTTGTCTCTGTATCTGGGAAAGTGCTCCTAAATCCCCTGAAATGTCCTGAGTGATGAGAACAAAGAGGTGTCTATTGTTATGTTAATGAGGTGAATTTTAGGCCTCACTTAAGGATGGGGGCTGGTTGTCTGCGGAGCTGCCCACGTGATGGGAGGGTTGGAAATTTCAATCCAACTGAAGTTGGGAAGGGCAGAGGGGCTGGAGGTAAAGTTCAGTCACCAATGGCCAATAATTTAATTACTGTATTTTGCCATGTATAAGGAGCACTTTAGGCCCAAATTTTGGGGGGTAAAATAAGAATGCACATTATACATGGGTAGGGCTAATTCCATATCTATAAAAACATCTTAAATTCTTTTATTTATGCTTATGCATTAAAAGTGTAACTGTAGAAAGCAATAATGATACCTATGCAAAATAATAGCTCGGAATATGATCAGTGGTTTTGTTTTTCAATATAAATAAAGAAAGAAAGAAAGAAAGAAAGAAACAAAGAAATAAAGAAAATGAATTAAAAAATTAAATGGAAGATTTTTTTCCTGAAAGTTTGAGCCAAAAATGTGGGTGTGCGTTAGGTACCAGACCCATTACGAAGGGCAAAATACAGAATTTTTCTCTTGTAAGAAGCCTCCATAAAAACACCAAAGGGTGAGATTAGGAGAGCTTCTGGCTTTGGTGAACTGGTGGAAATTCAGGAAGCATGGAACCTCTTTACCCTTCCCTCGGACCTCGACTTAGGCATCTCTTCCATCTGTCTGTTCCTGAGTTACATCCTTTTATCATAAACCAGTAATCTAGTAAGTGAAATATTTCTCTAAGCTCTGTGAACCATTCTAGAAAATTAATCAAGCCCAAGGAGCGGGGGCGTGGGGTCCTCCAATCTATAGCCAGGGGGTCAGAAGCATGGGTGACAACCCGGACATGAGACTGGAGGGGGTGGAGGTGGCCTTGTGGGACTGGGCCCCTTACCTGCACAAGCTCAGGTCATATCTGGGGAGGTAGGGTCACAACTGAGCCAACATGTAGCTCACTCAGCTGGTGTCCGATATAGCTTGGTGGTGTCGGGGGCAAAACCCCCAAACCACATGTTGAAGTTGGGATCAGAACTGTCTTAGTCATTAAACAGACACATTGATGGGCAAATTAATGGTCAAAGAAGCCTCTGTAATCGAGGTACAGACGGGCCTCCACAGCAAACTGTAAAAGCAAACACGCTCTGGGCCTGGGGGTGGCGTCAGTGCCCCTGCTCTGAGCCCCGTCCCTGTCCTTCCCCGATGCCTGTGCATCTCGGGGAACCGGTCCTGCGTAAATAAACGTCCTTAAATTGCCCCAATTGGACTGTGCCATCTGTTTCCTTTTAAGACTCTGACGGTTACCATCGCCTATGAAAGAAACTGGTTTCAATGGGCAGGGAATGTAAATGATAGGATTTCCGTCTTTTCTGATTGGACACAGTCAGAGAAGATGGGGGAGGGAGGAAAACAATGGGAGGAGCTATAGTGGATACAATCCTATTGAGTTTCTTCACTGTCCTCTGTGCTTCTGGCAATACCAAAATTGATTATTTCTTTTCTGCCTCATACCTGTATCTTTATCTCTAAATTGAGTTGCTTTGCCTCAAGCTTTAATATCTGTTTTCATATTAATTAATCAACAATTTAAAATTAGATTTTTATCTCGCGGTGATTTTATTGGCAGTATGCTTAGAAAACTATCTTAGTTGTATGTCTAACACAATCCATATGTTTTCAAACCATTTCTTTCTGAAATTGCACATCACGAAATATGAGTTTCCACAATGTCTTCATCAGTACAGTAAGGTGATAAAAAAGCCTAAGATGTATGACAATCTTACTAAAATTAGTTATTTCACCAAAGATGAAAGTTCGGTAGATCACCTTGTTTAAGAAACTCCGCGGCCAGAAACAAAAATGCAGGCAGATTTCGGAAGCAAAGAACTATACTGCTATGTCAAAGCTTGTGACTGACTGTACCTTGAACATGCTGGCTCCTGACGTCCTTGGAAATGGGTCTGTCCACCTGTAGAAGAAAACAGGGCACCATTATCCCTGAAGTTGTGACTGTGACACCGTCCGAGGTCCCACTGCTCCGTGTGGTCAGGTCCCCAAGGATAAAGGCATCTGGACCCATCATTCATAGAGACCCATCATTCATTCTGAGTGTGCATGGTTGGCAGTCAGTCGTTATGTGCAGATGTGTGTACCATGTGGTGGTGATGAGCATGGTGGCCTTGGGTGGTATTTGTCATAAAAACACTTGGATTTGAGATCCACCCCGTCTCTTGTTGCTGTGAAACTTTGGAAAGGCATTTAGCCTACTTTGAGCCTTAGATTTTTCATTTTACAATAGGGAGGGAAAACATTTAGTCGATTCATGTCGTTGAGTTATGACAAAGATGACTGTACAGGATCAAGTTCACTGAAAGCAGCTGAGCTGGCAGATCAGCACAAGAGCGGGCACACGCGTACCAGCCCATCACCATGTCCGGCCCTTGGCACTTATTTCTTCAGTGAATTTGTTGAGTAAATGGTTGCAGAGTTCAGTGTGGTGCCGGGTAAGGGAGAGGTGGTGACTATTTCACCCCCGCCTTGCTCTCCCAGCCTCTCCTGGGTGTGTCCCGTGTCAGGGACATTGTTGGGTAGAATCTGTAACTTCCTGTCCTTGTCAACATTAACAGAAGCCCTCAAGTTAAACAGAGAATATGAAAAAATAATGCAAAAGGGAGAATGTGCTATGTGCAAAAGCGTGTTCATATTTACTGATAAATGTGGAACAAATTTAAAAAAAAAGAACAGTGAAATCAGTTAAAAATGACTTAAAAAATAATAGCCAGTCTTGGTTGGATGTGGAAGACTTTCCCACACAGGGCTTCTGTGTGGGTAAATTAAATAAGTTTTTAAAAGATGTTTTATTGATTTTTAGAGAGGGGAAGGGAGGGAGAAAGAGAGGGAGAGAGACATCAGTGTGTGTTCCTCTCACACGCTCCCCACTGGGGACCTGGCCTGCAACCCAGGTGTGTGCCATGACTGGGAATCGAACCCCCAACACTTTGGTTCGCAGGCCAGCACTCAATCCACTGAGCCACAGCAGCCAGGGTGGTACATTAAATAAGTGTTGAGGATAGAAATTTCTCAATATGCACCAGAGGCCTTTACAGTATTTTCACTCCATGGTTAAGGAAAATAATTAAAAATTCCATAATGGGGTGTATCTGTAAAGATTCTGCTTATTAATGTTTATCACATGGGAAATTGATTTCTAACCAGAATATACCGGTAACGTGAAAGGAAAAGACAATCAGGCATGCATTATACAACAAGACTCCCTTCCATAAACTATGTCTGTGTAGAAAATGTCGGTGGGAAATAAACCCAACTAAACCTTAAGACCGAGAGCCCTGCAACCCCAGGGGTGATTAATTTCTAGTTTATGTGTTTATGCATTAAGACAATTAAGCATTAGCAAAAGTGTTGTTAAAAATAAAGTTCTATATACGTGTTTAGAGCATTTGCATTTGCGAGATATTTCGTAAGATAGTCTTTGTAGTCTCCAATCAGCCGTGGAGGTAAGTGTGGCGGGGACTTTCATTTCTGTTTTGTGGATGTGGTCACAGTTGGCTGTAGCCAATCAGCATTGGGCCTGGAATCTGGGCCAAATGATATGTGTATTTATTATCACAGTAACCTGAGTTCGAGTTCTGCTTATGGAGAATGGGATGAGCTGTGGATGAGAGGCAGGTGGAAGCTGGTTCACGATAATTCTCCCCTCCCCTCCACCCATCACGGGGGGCTTGACGGCTTGGTCCCTGAGGACACGCCTCACAGTGGGAGGTGGGGTCTCCTGGCTGCCGGGAACCACCTGCCACGTGTTCGCTCACACAGCCGAGCCTTCACTCACGCAGTCCAGCCTCACCTGCATGTTCCAGGTTTGCCGCTCTGTCGGGAGCGACCTCGTGCCATCTAAGGGGAGGGGAGGGCCCCCTACATCCTCAAAACAGCGCGTGTCTGGGAAAAGAGCAAAAATGAGAGTCATACCCGCTTCCCAGGGGGGGAGACTGTGGGGCAGAGAAGAGAAACACCCCCTCCGGTCCGTGCACGGAAGTGCCCACGTCTGCACTGGAACATCCTCATTCTCAGCCCCTGGGGGATGCTTCTCCTCCTGCCAGGGCCGGGCTGTGTCTCACCGTTGGAAACCCTCCTGGTCCGCACGCTCTCACACCCACCCTGGCTCTCCTTTCTATTTTATACAGTGGACACCTTCTACCATGTTTATCTGCTTCTCTCTCTCTCTCTCTCTCTCTCTCTCTCTTGGTCGCCTGACTGTGACCTTCCTGGGAACAGGAATCAGGATTCATGGACCCGCGTGTCCCTCCATCAGCCCCAACACGAGATGCCCAGCACACGTGGACACTTGGGAAGTGCCTGTGGAGTGAATGGACTCTAAGGAATATCATCGCTTTCACAGGCGATTCTCTTCAAGAGACGCCTGTGGATTCACTTCAGGGGGTCAGGCCTCAGGCAGCCCAGACCCCCCCTCTCCGCTGCTCAGAAGTGGGCTCCATCTCAGGTTCTGGGAACCCCTGCAGCTGCCCGATGTGCCCCCCGCCAGACAGAGGAAGCGGGTGTGGACTTAGCCCTCCCTCCCTGGTGAGAAGCTGAGCTTTTCTGCCTCACCCTCCTGCCACTCACACGCTGCCTACCTGCAAAATGGGTTGGCCAAGTGGATGGTCTACCTTTTGCTCTCTGCCCCTCACTGCAAACTGTCTGAACATCTTCTGCACCCCCGCGCCACCCCCCGCCTCCCCTCTGTGGTGCTCAGCACTTGCTCCTAGGGCTCACAGAGGTCATCGTGACAGTTGGTAACCAGCCATCACACAGCTCTGCCGCCCGCAGTCGCCTGGTGGGAGCTGGACCTTCCTCATACACGGCACCCTTAGAGAAACTCTCAGGGTTCAGGTCAGTGATTACGAACCCTGCTTTTGGTTCCGGTCACCTCCACCTCCAGAAAGCCCTGCAGGCGGGACTGCACCCTAGAGTTATCTGAATCAGCACCTGCGGCTTTGCTGCTGGGCAGCGTGGCAGCTCGTGCACTTGCGGATCTCAGACCCCAGCGGTTACCTGCGTATTCAGACTCCTTTAGAGGCCTGGCGGGTAGAATTTTCATCAGTTGCCACGTGCTTGCCACGGGAAGCCTGGGGGCTTCATAGTCGTCATCCCCGGGGTCTCTGGCCGCGTCCAGGGCTTCAGGGAGGCTCATTTCCTACGCAGGAGGGAACATTCGAGTGAGTCAAGGGAAGGTGCTGTGACCGTTAAGATCGCAGGCGAGGGTGCTCGCTCAGAGAGTGACACAGGTCCTCTTAGGTGAGAGGTAAGAGTCTGGGGCCTGGGGTGGTGAAGGTCTTGCGGTAGGTGGAATTCTAATGACGTCCCCAAATAGTCCCATCCTTTGTTCAGTCAAAAAACTGCCCAGGTGGTGCTGTGAGGGGACCTTGCAGACGTAATTAAGAGGAGTAGTTAAGTGTCTTTGAAACAGAGATCGTCCTGGATTATCCGCTTGGGCCCAACCGCCCAAGATTCCCAACCGCGCGGCCGGGAACGACAGGCCCCGTTCCAGGGGGCTCTCACGCACGTTCCCCAGTGTGGCCCTCGGAGTAACGGACTTTTCTCTTCTTTAACACGTACAGAAGCAGGGCGCAGGTGCCACAGTTGGGTAGCGCCCTGCCCGCACTGGAATCCAGCGCCAGGCATGTCTGATTGTCCTGCACCCCGAGAGTGGAGGGCAGAGTGTTTGGGGTGCTCCTTGTGTGGAGGCACCCACTCTGCGGAGACAGTTTCCTTCTCCTCACCCAGCATGGCCGGGGACACGTGAGCTCCGCCCCTGGACTCCCAGTTTACTTTCCAGTCAGCAGCTGAAAACCTAAAATCAGAGTGACTGCTTTGTAGCCTTAACCAGATCTGGGTCTTTTGCATAAACAGTAGATTCTTCACCTGTGTTTGTTGAATCACTAAGTTTAGGGTGTGATCCTTTCCGTGCATATAATTAAAATTTTAAACTTATGCTGTAATTCATCTAGCGATAGAGATGTCTTTATCAAGGGCCCCTTCAAATTTACTTTTGAATGGGATGGACACACACCCACTAGAGTGAATAGCATCACTTGCAGTCACGGCGTGACTTCGACAGCCAGGGGTGTCTTACATGAGACCACACACGTCACGTTTTCAGCAAAATGCCGATGGCAGCACCTGGTGACCTTTAGCACCTGGTGACCTTTAGCTGCAAATATCATAGCTGAGACCACCACGGGCAGGGTCTACTGTTAAAGACAGTGGCAGGAAAGGGGAGGCCTCCGGTCCTGCATTTCTCTCCTGCTCTTAAAGTTCCCTTCACTCTGGTTAAGCACTTTGTCCATGCCAGGGGCTTCGGGTACCTTATGTCATTTGCGTAAGCAGGAAAATCTCGAAGGGGATTTTGTTATAGTGGAAGGACCTGAGATCAGACAGGCTTGAGTTTAAATTCTGCCTCTTCTGCACTTTTCTAGTTCTCTAAGGAACTTGGGTGCCTTGGTTCCTATCCCCAAGCCCACAAGGGGTGTCATTCCATCGATGCGGTTCCCTGCTAGTTACGCGAAGGGTCTGATTTCCAGGTACCCAACAGCATGGTGTGTGTTGGGGGGGGGTTATTCACCAGGCCCCCATCTGGAAGGCCTTTGGGGTTCCACTTTGGGTTGAAAGCAACTCCACCCATGCAATGCAGGGGCGCGGAATGCAGTTCAGTTCTCCACGGGACACCTTAACAGTGTCCCGTGGAGAACTGAAAGAGGCGGTGGCCCCTGCAGACTGCAAGCCCCTTGGCTTTCAAGGAGCTCATCTTGATGGCCACCCGGGTGCTCCCCAAGCAGGCAAAGCAAGCCTTGAGTCTTCCATGAACCGAGGAGTCAGGCAAGCCTTGGGGGGCACGTTTATTAACATCGAGGTGTATGAGACCATGAACCCACACGGTGTCCCAGGAGCAGAAGGGGAGAAGTCAAGTCACCCCTTGGTAAAGCGGAGAAGGGCTCTTTGCACGGTCACCTTGATGCTGTGTCCCTTGCACTGGGCCCTGCAGCGTGAAACTCCTCCCCCTCCCCCTCTTCCTCCTCTTCCTCCTCCTCCTCCTCCTCCTCCTCCGCTGTCTGGTCTCGGAGGGAGGCGGGGCCCAGACAGGGAGTGCTGGGTGGGCACCAGGTGAGACTGGCGCCGCCCCTCTGACATCTAAACTGGGGACCCGTTTCATGACCTCCCGGACTCGGACACTGAGTCTGCAGATTGGGGATGGCCAAACCCACCATGCTTGGTTGTATTCGGGGATTAACTGAGCAAAATGCACGTGAAGGTTCTGCCCAGGCCTCTGCCCGCGATGCGTTAGATCTCTTCCCTCCAATCGACAACCTCCAATCGACAATCCACGTGCCTGGTGTGAGGAGAGCAGGGACCAGGGGCAACGCTAAGCTGGCTGGGGGTTCACAGTTGGCCCCTGTGAAAGGGGGAGAGGAGCAGCTGTTCTGCTCGCACAGTGCACGCAGAAGTGAGTTCTGAGCTGGAGCACAGGTGCGCCGTGCCTTTGGGGCTCTGACGGATGGACGTCAGTGGCAAGGATGCCATTGATACACTGTTACGGTCAATGCCAAGACACCCCCTAGTGCGGATGCTTTGGGAAAGCCTCGGACCTGCTGGAAGAACTGGGAAAGCGAGAGCAGAGGCTCTTCCATGCAACTGCCCAGCCAGGTTTCACGGGGCAGGGCATGGGGGTGCCCGGAGGGACAGCGGCCACCAGCCTCCCCACCCCCGCCCCTGCCTGCCCTCACCAAGGGAAGCCAGGCCGGACCCTGCAGTCGGCCCACAGGACGGGATAGAAATAGTTGAGTGTATTACTTTCCAGGAAGGGAAAGAGACAGAGTTTTGTTTCAATTATAATCAGTTACATCTATTTATTTATTAACCTATTTATTACCTTCTGCTTACCTCAGAGGTTCTTAACAAAAATCCAGTATTCTTTACCCATAAAACTCAAAATTAATAAAATAGTTGGTGATTGACTGACTGTGTGTGTCTTGAAGTGAAGTCCCACAGCTTTAATTAGATTTTAAAAGAAGACTTTCAAACAGGAAAGATCCAATTATTTTACAGGCAAATTCTGTCTATCCATCCGCCCATCCAATCTATTCTATCCATCTGTCATCTACAGATATGCTCGTTAAAACTATTTAAATAATATACACACACAGTTTAAATAGTTAAAACTATTTAAATAACATACACACAGTTTAATAAAATTATAAATATTGGATAATTGAATTCTGTTATACATTTTCTCATTAAAAGTCATTAAAATTCTGCCGATATTGTCAATGGCTTCATAATGTGAGTGTAACGTATTCAACTGTTTTTATGTTATTGAATATTTAGTATGATTCCAGTGTGCCGCCGTTTAAGATATAGTATTTATGAAATATAAATGAGTGTGTTTAAATATTAATCCAAATTTTAGGCTGGTTCCTTAGTTTAAATTTCCAACCGTTGTATTATGGGGCCGAAGGAAATGGACATTTTTCTGTTGCTTAGCTAATATCGTGAGACTGCTTTCCAGAAAGCCCGTCCCCCTGCGGCACGTCACGGTGCGTGCCTGCTCATCACGCACGTCCCGGCACCCTGTGTGGGTGCTGCCACCTCACCCTATCTTCACCTTGGCCGTGGGGAAGAGTTTCTATCTCTCTTTGATAGCTGAGGAATTGACACACCATTTTATATTCAAGATTCGAAATGCAATTTGCCCTGCCAGGAAATCAGTCATTTCAAATTTTTTTTTTTTTGTTTTTAATCCACCAAACCCCTTGACAAAAAGCCAGTCTTTCTGTACATATCCAAGGCTGAGAAAATAGGTTAGGGGAGTGGCTGACTTACGTAATTGAGGAGAGACTCATCCACAGCCTGGAACTGGCCTGCCAACAAAAAATAGACCAAAATGTTAATGCAAAACATTGCAAAGACTGCGCCCTTGTTTTTCTCCAGAAATCTTGCGCTCATTTCACTTAATTTTTCTGGACTGTAACTGCTGAAAATGAAGCGCATCTTCCTACACTTCTCACTCTCTGCTGTTCTCGCAAAACGGGGCCATGGAAGGAAAGCAAGACAATCAAACGCAAACCAAGAAGCCTCAGCCTTTTCACAGCGGGTCAACATTCTCACGGGAAGAGAAGACTCCTCCCCGGCAACCAGGAACCTAGTGCACCGGCAGCATCAGCCAATGAGGAGGCCTGTCTCCTCGCCCCCCTCCCCTGATGGCACTCGGGTTGGTTGCACGGGCAACTACCTGCCCGCACATCTGTCTCCCTGAACACACTGAGGGGGGTCCCTTCTAGTCACCCATCTACCCCCAGATCCAGGCACCAGCCTCCATATTGACCAGAGGAGTCCTTTATTCTTTTATTTTTATTTAAAAAACCCTCATCTGCCTGAGATGTTTGGTTGCCTTCTTGTACACGCCCCGGCCGGAGACCAGCCCTGCAACCTGGTCACGCGCCCTTGGGAATTGCACCTGTGACCTTGTGGTCCACAGGACTTTGCCCCAAACAACTGAGCCACACCAGCCAGGGCCAGATGAGTTCTCAGTGGGCGTTTGTTGAATGAACATAGTTCAGTTAAAGCTTCTGGACACTCCACTCCGTCTCCTGGACCTGTTCTATGCCGGGCGGCCCAGAGGTGGTCCAGTGCACCGTGTCCTGGTTTGTGCTCTGCCCCAGTTGTCAGACCGGCAGAGGCCTGCTCCCGTGGCCTGCAGTGTCTGCTTTTTCCTTCTGCGTAGACTAATTTTCTTTAATTGCTCTGCAGTTTCATGCTGTTAGTCTGCATGAGGACCATTATAAGCGGAAAATGTTCTTATCACTTTCTCTTCATTAGCACACGTGAGAGGTTTCCCGCAGGTTTCAGGACCAGAAGCTGCGTGCTTCCCCTTCTCCGCAACTGGTTTGCTCTGATCTGATGGAAAACACCAGTCCCGTGAGACATTATGCTCCCGCTCCTCCTGTGGCTGCTGAGTCTCAGCGCACAGGTCAGGCCTGCGGCCAGGGCGCGTCAGAGAAACACGACACAGGTGTTTTTCTCCATCTTGGTCTGGCTTCATCATTCTTTAAAACCTCTTTCCTTTTACCCTGAATTCTCTCACCATGCTGAAACACGAAGTCCCTAGTTGTGGGTGTGCCCAAGTCTTCTGTAGGGTGTGGAGTGTAAGTGAACAAGAGTCGGACTCGGTGGAAACCCAGCTCTGGAATATGCCGGACCTGTGCCTGGGGAGTGCTCAGCAGCCGCACTACTGTCGGGCAATGCAGAGCCAGGAGAAGCAGAACCCTGCCGGGCACCAGTCCCGGCGCCCCCTGGTGGTGGGACTAGCAGCTGTCACCACCCTGGGTGACTAAAGGATGCCTGCCTGTCCCAGCACAATTACACCGGCCCTGAGACCCGGGAAGAAGAAGCCCTCTGGTTCCTCAGGCCCTTCAGAGCAGCGATCCGTACCAGTGCATGAGCCGGGCTGGAGCAGTAAGACCCCCTGTTTGTTCCACACCAGCTGGACGAAAAGGAGGAAACAGTCCCGGGTTTATGGGGACCTGCCCCGGCCCTGGTGAGCTGGGACAGCGGCTCCCCCGAGGAATTCAGGGTGTAACAGAATATCAGCTCAGGGGACTGTCCTCATGCAGTGTGGTCATTGGATGGACACCCCATGGGGTCTCCTCTCCCAGCCAAAGCCAGCACCGCGCTGCCCAAGACTCTCATGGGCCGCCCCCTGCCCATCTGGGTCTTTGGGTCATCCCACCTGGACCCCCTGGGACTTCCCCTGACCACTGCCATCTTCTGTGACATGATGGAAGGACTCTGTCAGTCTGGGAGGCAGGCGTCGCCTTCTGCCTCTTTCTCCTGCAGGTGTCTGGGACGTGGCATTGCAAAAGGCCTGCTTTAATCCTGCCAGTCTGTTCCCATCACTCATGGCCCGTGAATACAGTCCAGATTCCCTGCAGTGGCCCTGAGCCCAGCCCGGCCCAATCTGTCCCCTCCCCAGTCCCCTGTCTTTCCAGTCCCTTCCTCACAGAGCTGGAGGCAGCCAGCCTCTCCCAGTCCCTCGGGGACACTGAGCTCCTTCCATCCTGGAGACTTGGTCTGTGCTGTTCCTCAGCCTGGAATGTGTGCCCCTCAGCCCTGCCCTTGCTGTCAGAGTGTATTTCACGTGTGGTCTCCCCCAGGAGACTATCCCTGGCTACCGATCTCAGGTGAAAATCAAAGAGGAGCATCTCTGGGGCCCAGTCCTCACCACCTCAAGTTCCTGCCATGGTGGTGAGGGTGCTGTGTGCTCACCAGCCCCGAGTGGGCACCCACATCCCAGCGGCTTGCACTGGCTGTGGTGGGCGCTGGGGCTGCTGGGATGGGGCATATGTGGCAGAGTCCACTCCAGGCCGGCCCGCTGGACGCTCTCCTTTTCTCAGGGGCTGGCCGGAGAGAGAGGGGACCTCAGGAATAACAGAAGGCACTGGGCAACAGCAGGCTGTTTGGAAAAAGACCTCTTCTGGTCCGCATTGGATCGTGATGTGGGCGAGAACCAGCCTTTATTTTATTAGAACTACTAACGTTCGTAGTTCACCCATGACAGATGTGAGCCTTTTCTGATTAATAGAGTCGTTTAGTTTCTCCATAGCATGTGGGAGCAAAGCAGGCCAGTAAGTGCCTCTCTGCAGACTGGGTGCTGGCTCCCCCCGCAGTGGTGAGGTTCCAGGCTCCTGTGCATCAGAAGTGCACAGTCAATGAACTGTGGCTGCGAATCCCAGCGAGGGGTGCCGCAGAAGCACCTGGGACGGGGAGCACCTGACCTCCTCCCTTGCTGAGTGAACTGGAGAGGGACCCTCCTCTTGCCGGACCCCTTGTCCCCTCAACTGGGCGCCCCCAATGCTTCCAAGTCTTTGAGTCCTCTGGAACTGAAGGACAGGTGGGCTTCTTGGAGAGAGAGCTGTTGTTGGAAAGGTTTTCCGAAGCTGCCCTTCACACGGCTGTCCTGCAGGAATTCTGCTCAGGGGACGGTGGCAGGTCATCCGTCAGCACCGGCCCCGGGGAGCTCAGAGAGCGCCGCCTTCACGCTGCTTGAGGCCGAGTCTTTTCCGAGAGATAGCGGTCCCTCGAGTGGGCTTTCTTAGAGGGAAGTGAAGGTGATGTGTGTCCTGTAGAAGCTCAGGGGCTCTCTTGACAGGCAGAGAGAAATTAGCCCAGACTTTGGCCATCACCTTGGACACCTCTTCCCATGCCCACAGAGGCATGCGGCATGACAGTGGCATGCGGCCAGCTCCCATCCAGTTAAGGTCCCCTGGTCATGTTCATCTTGGGTGTGGAAAAGGAAGGCGATAAGAAAAAGCAACCCCAGGATAAACCCGCTGCGGCCTTCCCGAGCTCCATCTGTTTGTTCACACTGTGGTTTGGGAGCTGCGATCCGGGAGCTCCAGCTCCATCGGAAGGTGGGCCGTGGAGGCAGAGACACTGGGGCTATTTCCACTCATAAATACTCCTCGAACTTTAGCCCCCGGAGCCACCAGACAGGTGCCTGGTCTCTGCCCTGTTTGCTGCCCTTACAGGCACAGGGGAGCTGGCCAGGCCCCAAACTCTGTTGCCAGGGGATAGTCACATACGGAGAGGGTTCGAGTCACCTCCAACTCTGGGGCTACCAGCTGGACCCACTCAGGAGTTTGCAGTGAAGAGCGAGAGGCGGGTGAGCCCATCGCCGAGTGCTGGGTGGCAGAGGCAGCTGTGTGTCTCCCCCGCGCATTTCCCCCTTCTTCTCGGTACTAGACCCCCGATGGTCAGCTGGGCACAGGGCGGCCGAGGGAAAGTACTTATGACGCCTCCTCGTCGTCCTGGTAGCGGCACGGGGCCACGGGGCTGTGAGTCCAGGGTTTGGTGGAGGAAAGAGCTGAAAAGTCAACTCAAGTTCCTTAAGGGACACAGCTGTGTGCTGTTGACCCCTTTGTCTTCCCTTTGCCTCACCTGCCGGCCACATCACAGGTGTCACTCCTTTAGGTGGTGGGTCAACATCCCCCGAGTGCACAAGGCAGGTGAGGGAGCGAGTTGGGAGGGGTGGGAGCCCAAGAACCGCTTGCCTCCGGACTTGACCGCTGAGAGGAAAATAGACTTCTGTCGTGTTTAGCACTCAGGGTTTCTCTTTAAAAAGTGTCTGCAGCCTTTCCCGTTCTATCAGCTTCGGAGTTCACCAGTTACCATGGCAGACAGAGCCTTTGACCATACCAGGTCAAAGGCACGAGCCTGTATTTCTTGGACGCTGAGTGAGAAGTTCTAGGTTCCAGTCCTGGCCTTGTCCCTTTCCGGCCCGGGGACCTTGGGCAAGCCTGTAAGCCTGGCTTAACGGAGATGAACTTGGGGGAGTGATGGTATCTGCCCCAAAGAGCTGTTGAGAAGTTAAAAAATGTAACTCCCGGGCTCAGTGTCCCACTAATGAATTGCTGCATTCTGTGTTTTATGTCTTTCCAAGTTCAATGTCATGACGAAGCCTATTTCACTCAATCCAGATCCTTAGTACGCTCTGCTCTCATATCTGTAGCAGGAAACTGTTCATGATGTAGTGCTTGTTTTAAAAACAAAACATGTTCTTTCAACGTTCACCTTTGCTGACAGGCACCTGTCACCTCTTCAAGAGGGTCAGTCAAGCTGGAGTCCCTTCCAGCTGTGAGGCTTAGGGACTCAGGGACTGTCACCATCTGCCTGACCTCATCTGAAAGATGAAAAACAAGAACAAAAACCCGAGGCCGAGTGTTCGGCACACAGCACCAAGTGCCATGTGACAGGTTTGGGTCCCCCTCTACCAGTGGCTTCACGTGTTCCCGGACTCCTCTTGGGCTCAGTTTTACCTACTATGTACGGTGAGTGGAGTAGAATCCCGTCCCTGCCGCTAAATCACACTCATCTGTCAAAGGCCCGGCCCAGCCCAGGGACTTGACTCCATACACGTCAGCTCCTATCCGTGGTTCTCTCTCATCCTCAGGTCCCAGAACTCGCTGATGTCAGGAGAGAACAGCCTTCAACTCCTGGGCTCCAGACACACAGGCCTGGGGCCTTGCTGCCCCCTGGGCCGCCTTCCCCCATTTCTGCCTTTCTGGCACACGAAGGTGTCTGGGGACAGAGGTGTCCACCATGCCAAGCAACAGGCCAGTCCATGCCCTGTGCCCGGCGGGCCTCGAAAATCAGACTGTTGGTCTACGGCTGTAGGGAAAGGCAGGAACAAACTTCTTCATGTTCAGGTTCACTGCCTCTGACTAAAGTGCGGTGAAATCCAGTGAACCTTGGCTGTATGACTTCTCCGTGGGAGGAAGAGAAATGGGAGTGGGGAAGAGAAGGAAGGAGGGGGAGAGAAAGAGATAGAAATGGAGATAGATACAGATTACACATATGTGTATAGTATGTCTGTTGTATGTATTAAAACCTATATGCATAAACGAGGGGGGCAAAAGTAGGCTTACGGTTATTCATATAGAAAACAACACAATAATAAGTAATAATACAAAAATAAACTCTGCGTTTTGGGCACTCGCAATTGTAAACCTACTTTTGCCAACCCCTGTATATATTTTGTCTGTCTGTCTGTCTACCTACTTACCTAGCCCTTTTGGGGTTTTATTTCAGTTTTATTCACTGAGCCCCAGTCTCCTGATCTGAACACTGTGAGTTGTACATTTTAAACACAAATAGTCCGAACTCACGGAAATAGCTACATGGGAAACATTTCTTGGTGAGTTGGGAGAACAGGCTTAATGTTCTCCCTGGGTGGCCCTTGGAAATTCAGTTCCCTTCTCTAGTTCCTGTCTCCTCACCTGTGAAGTCTGGTCTTAGCATCTCAGATTGCTGAGTTCTTGGGACTTTTTACCTTCATTTTTGTTTAAGCAGCTGTACCCAAAGCTAGTTACAGTATCGGTCTCATGAAGAACTACTACCACCAGCTGGAGTGAATGGGTAGATGAATGAATGAGTGGTGAGATCTACAGCAGCTGCTTTTCATTCTGTTTTTTTTGGGGGGGATCTCCAGGAATTCAAATGAAATACCCTGAGACCATTGTCCAGAGGCTGGACTGCAGCTTCTTGGCGGGGACGATCTTGATCATTCCTTTTGGCTTCAAACCGTGATTTGTAAAAGACTACCTTTGAGCTACCTGAGCTGGGACTGTCTTGTTAAATTACAGATTCCTGGTCTCAGGACAAGCCTGGCATGGCTTGGGTGTGAGAACATGTGTTTTTAACTGTGTAATTCTGATACACACTGAATTTTGAAGACAATTCTTAATGCTCGGGTTTACCAATCTCAGATGATTTGAAATCTTTGCCTGTGCCTACCAGAATTGGGTAAACACCTTTTCCTAGCACTTCAACAGCCAATTTTTTTTCTGTTGGTTTTTGTCCACCAATTTCTGCTACATCTTGGAGAGAACCGGCCTCTGCTAAATTGATTGCAGGTGTTGCAATATCCAGAAAGGGCCAGTAGGGGGCATTAGCTCCTCACATATTTCATACCCAACGGTCTGCTTTTAGTTCTAAAATCCTTGCTAATTTTTGTTTTAAAAGTGGAAAGGAAAAAAGAAAACCATCCAGACAACCTTTAGGACTGCTTTCTTTAGAAAACTAAAAAGCAAAACAGAACAAGAGTTTCTGGACAAAATAAAATTTGTCCTCTGTTTAATTGAATCAATATTATCAGGGTTTTTATTGTGTATGGTGACTTCCTACTTTCTCATTAGACCTATTTTCTCCAATTTTAGTCTTTATTCAGTGGAAGAAGTAAAACTCCTGATTTTATTTTACGGAAACGCATGGAATCATTCCATATATATATATATATATCAGCCTCACAGAGATATCGGTGTTGACGAGATTGTCATATTTGAATTACCAGCTGTCTTCCCTAGGTCAGGAGTATTCTTTATTTCTGGATAGATAGTTTTTAGTGTATGAGAATATACGTTTGCCCTGGCTGGTGTGGCTCAGTGGATTGAGTGCCAGCCTGCAAACCAAAGGGTCGCCAGTTCAATTCCCACTCAGGGCACATGCCTGGGTTGTGAGCCAGGTCCCCAGTAGGGGGCATGCCAGAGGCAACCAGTCATTGATGTTTCCCTCTCTTTCTCCTCCCTTCCCCTCTCTCTAAAAAATAAATAAATAAACAAACAAATAAATAAATAAAATCTTTAAAAAAATATATGCTAGTTTTTAGTATATAAATTATATTCTGTATAAAATTGATACAGATAAGCAAAAAGGAAAAAAGGAAGGTCACCCTAATTCTGCACACTGAGGCAGCCATTGTAAACACACACACACACATGAGATACTGTCTGTGTACACGTGGTCGCGCCACGTGTGCTGTTTTCCTGTCCGCTCACTCACAGAATCACACGCTGTAACAGAGCCCTGGCAGCAAGTCCATTCGGCACCATCATTTTTAAGGGCTGTATAGTGTTCTCTCCTATGGATGCCCCACCATATTTTCAGCTATTCCCATGGCAACAAAACAAAACAAAACAAAACAACAAAACAAAACAAAACAACACAGACAATTCAAAGCACCTCGGAATGTTATAAATATCCCCGTGACTGCAGAATCCTATGTCCCCTGGCAGGTGTGTCTTCAGTTACGAGTGTTCTGCGGGGCTGGGGTGGGGGGTGTGGGGGTCTGTGAGCCTGCGGAGGGGGGGTGGTGCGCCTCACTGTTGAGTATTTCGGCAGGGCTTGGACTCAAGTGGGTATGGGCAGGCCCTGGCAGCCGTATCTCAACGGGCATTCTTGGGGTTTTGATTTGTTTCATTTTCCTTGGCTGTGTCTCTAGAATGTTGCGGATGGAAGGGAACCCACCCATCTGCTTCTCTCCACCGTGAGGCAGGGGAACAGCAAAGCCAGGGGAGAGGGGTGCGGGTCCCGTGGTTTGTAATTCACCAGCCACGGCACCCCAGGAATTGGAGTGGATGGTGGGAGGGGGTGTCTCTGAGACCACCTGGAGGGAACTGCCCTTGAGGGGCCACAACCTCTGTTAGGACCAGACTTGGAAGCTTGATGAAAGCATGTTCTGTAGGTGGGCTTGGAGCTGGTGCTTTTTACGTAGGTGCACACTTGCGATTTTTCTTTGGGTCTCCCGCACTCTCCTCCCGGCTGCCTGGGGCATGCCAGGTGCTGGCGCCGAGCTCCAGTGGGCACCGCCTTTCACCTCCCCTCCTGGAGCGCATCACTCCCCACGATTCCCCCTTGGAGGCCCCCTTCCTCCCGTCCGCTTCTCCTTTTCCTCTCATTCCACTCGCTGTCTCTAACCACGAGCTTTCTAGGGAAGTTCTGTGGAACTCTCCTTGAAATTTCAGTACTCCAAGACGAACGACACACCCTCTTAGTCACACTTGAGGGGCACTGGGGGAGTGCTGGGTACCCGGGACTAGGCTTTGAGAAGAGATGCGGGGAAGCATAAACTGATTTCTGATCCATTCACTCACTCGACGAGTGTTTTGGGGAAAACCCATTACACTGAACTGAGTGGAGCAAACACTCAGGAGTAGCCACTTCTACCCACTCTGCAGAGGAAGAAACACAGGCCCGAGGGGGCTGTGCCCCACCCAAGGCTGCACAGCTCCCTGGAGGACAGACAGGGCTCCCCCAGGCTTGGCTAGGTCCCAGCACCCGAGGAAGCCCCAGGCCAGGCCGCCCTCCAGGAGCCAGCAGAGGGAAAGGCTATCAGGTGCTCCCGTCATTTCGAACAGGCCAATGGCTTTATCAAAGGGAAACAGAGAAAGAAAAGAACGAAAGGAAGAGTCTAACAGACCAGGGTTCCCACCGCTTGGAGACAGAGGCCCGGGACTCACCGTTGGCGCTGCAGGCTCGAGGCCACGACCTAGGGCAGAACAGAGAAGCAAGGTGAGCTCAGTCCATCATGTCCTTCACTCGCCTTCCCAAAAGAGCCAGTGGCCGTCAAAGGCCGTTTCACGGGTCAACCTCTGGAACTATGGCTCAATATTTGTGTTGTTCTAGAACTAACGTGACAGCTCGTGACAGAGAGTATAGAAAACAGACAAGCACGTGTAGAAGAAAATAACAGCACCACAGGTAACATTTGGACACCCCACCTGCTCAGGGGTGCCCGTGTGTCAGGACGCATGCGGACACCCGGATACGCAGCTGCATAAACGTAGCGTGAGAGAATGGGTAGGACCCCCTGTTAAAATATGTTCGCACATCCTTAGCTGTCATTCAAAAATGTATTCACGGCTGTGTGACTTCTGGAGGGGCAGCTGGGTTCTGGCGAGTTTTTCCTGTGGGGAACCGCGCTGTGCCTCCCTGCCCATGTTTTCAGCCTCATTGTCCAATCGCTCCACGGAGACACTCCATCAAGTGCAGCGAAGGGGTCAGGTGACACGGGCCCCCTAACCCCTTGTTCACGTCAATCACCGGGCGCTTTCCGTCCGGGCTGCATTCATTCCTAGTCCCACCCGCAGGCGAGAAGTGGCTGTCTCCCTGTATCTCACCACCCTGAAACCCGTCCTTGGAGACGACTTTGCCCACTTGGCACTCCTCTCTAGCCTCATGTCCTTGATGACTAGCCAGACTGAATTATCCGTATTATTGTCGTTATTATTTTCAAATGGTTTGGGGCCATTTGCATTTCTCCTGCGGTGAGTTACAGGTACACGGCTTTGCCATTGCCCAGGGAGGCCTGCGGTTGGCCAGCACGTCCACCCTCCAACAGTGTCCCCTGGCAGCACCTTCTCCCTGGCTTGGGGCGATGATCTGGAAAGCCCTGGGGTGATGGGAAGCTCTGAAGGATGTCGCTTCTGTGAGCTACCTTGTTTGTGCTGTTAATAACCTGGGCCCTGGCCGTGCAGCCTTCCTCCGAGGCTCTCCAAGTGCGTCACAGGAGCAATTAATTGAGCATCGCAACACACGCCAGATGTAAATATTTATGAGGCTCGGTTGGTGGCGGGGACTTTGGGTACAGAATCGTGAAGCCGGGAGATGCTGGTAACCAGGAGACCTCAGCCTGTGAGTCCAGCTTCCAGCTCACGCTGTTGCCTTCTGCTCGCCATTCTATACTCAAAGTGGCCCTGTGGGGTAGAGTTTACCTTGGGACAGGTAAACTCCTGTCCCAAGTTTACCGACAAGGAACAAGGGACTCAGAGGACCCATCACCTGCCCAGTCCTGCAGAGGGTGAGGGATTTGACACCAGTCTGCCTGCCCAGGAATCCAGGCCACCAGCCCCCCACTCCCCCACCCTACCCAGAAGGTGAGTCAGGCTTTGCAGGAACCTCGCAGCTGCGAGCTCTCAGAACCCTTGTGGTTAGTTCTTGGCACCCTTTCAAGTTGCCTGAGATTCTGCAGAAATCAACAGTAAACCAGCCAGCAAGGAGCTGATTATTTCTCTGGAGCCTGGGAGCGCTCTGACACTTTCAACACACGGCCACTCCTGTGACATCTCGGTCTTTGATGAAGGCCTCGGAAGGCTCCCCGGGTGGCCCCTCATGGCATGTGAAATGCAAATGGTGTGTTTGAGGCTGTACAGTGAGCTTCATGTGAGTGTGGCCACGGACGGACGGGAGGCAGCGGGCCAGGTGTGAGCGGCGTGCGAGCCTGCGCCCCGGTTCTGGAATGCCAGGCACGGCCTTCTCTGTCTCCTAGAGAGAACTTCCGCCTTTAAATCAGGATTGCGTCTCGTTTCCTATCTTGGCCTCCCCTGGCTTTTAGAATCAAAGATCATTATGCCAGAAAGTGCCTTGGAGATAATGTGGCCCAGGTCATTGCTCCCACTTTTAGACTCCTGGGCGGGGGGAAGCGAGGTCTGGACAGTGGCTCCCAGGGGAGAGCACCCGTGGGTGCCAGGCTGGACTCCTGGGCGGCTTCCGCACACTGCGGGGGTGGCCAACACTTGAACAAACGAAGCCACTTCCCTAAAGTGCACGGTGAGCTCTGGCCACGGCTGGATTTGTCTAACCCCAAATCCCTTATTATTCACCAGGCCAGAGCAGCCCCTTAGACTGCGAGCTCTGCATCCGGAAGATTCTGACTCACAGGGCTGCCTGGAAGCGGCCTGTCAGATCCGCTCTGCCACTCGGCAGGGTCCCACAGCGAAGGTGCACATGCCCTGTCCTGGGGGACCCTGCACCCCAGGGCTCTGTGCGCGTCAGTGCACGCCCAGGGAGTTAGCAGAGGAAGCGTCAGCAGAGCAGGGACAGTGGTATGGTTGCAGCTGGGCCCGCAAAGGGGGAGGGAGGGGGATGGCTGAGCCTAGCGGCCCAGGGTCTGGGAAGGACGGTCCGGTCCGGGAGGTGTCCTGGACTCCACGGTCCTGTCTGGCTGGAGAGCCGCCGAGAGCTCTCTGAAAAGCCTCCTGTGTTAACACTCGTGGAGCTTGACAGCCCAGGATGATTAATGAAAGGGGCTGCTTGCAAACTTCATGGAGATTTGATGTGTTTTCTCTGGGCTCAGGCAAGGCCCACGAGTGAGCAAGCTGCCTCCTGCTCGGGAATTACAGCCATGCACCCGGTTTCCAGGCTCCAACTGCATCCATGCTCCGCAGCCTGCACACGGGCCACAGCTGGGAAGTGTTAAGGCTTGGCAGCTGCCCTCTGCTCTCCCCCCTCCCCCCCACAGGTGTGCCTGAGGGAGGCCGCTCCTCCCCTCCATCCCTGGCCGGTCCAGGTGCGTGCGTACCTCGTCTCGGGGGTTCGCCCAATGCAAAATGACCAGGCTGACCTCCAGAGGCTGGTGGTTTTCAATATTTAAGGCTCCTCACAAACAAAGGCTTTTTAATTTCTGAATTATTTAAAATTTTTTACATTTCTTAATAATTTAATATGTTTAATCATTTTTAATTTTTAAAGGTTCCTAAATTAAACTCCCCCTCCCCCATTGCTTCCTAAAAGAACCGACTCCCATGAAGCAGGCTGGGGGGGGGGCCCTTGCGTCCTACTCATCCATGGGGACAAAGTTTGTTATTCCAGTTCCATGGGGAGGGGACTTGGTCCGGTCTCCAGGGTCACACTCCTGGCATGGAGACTAATTCCTTGTCACCCCCTTGCTTGTGGCGTGTGTGGGTCTCCCCAGGCACCCACGCTGGTCCAGGATGCACCAGCAAAGCCCTTGGGAAACTGTTGGGTGACTTCACCCTCCCCCAAATCTCCCAGATGAACCGGCTCAGCTCTACCTCTCGCCTGAAGTCTGGTCCCTGCACTAGAAAGACTGCTATAGAATAAAGGTCTCTCGTGTTTGGAAGGCAGCTGCTGTTTGGGAGAGCTGCCGAACTCAGTGCTCGTGATTTCATTCCCCTCTTCCCTGCGTTTGAGTGTTTGCACTGAGTGATTCTACCCACACCTCCTGGCGACTCTTGTGGGCAGTAGCTTCATGGCAGGTTTACGACACTACAGAACATTAGCCCCAAGTTGGACCAGGAATTGAACCTCTGACTTTGCAGATGGAGGGAAGGGGGCTCCGCACTGAGCACCTGTTGTGTCACAGCTCCTGGTGACAACCACAGGAAAGCTGGTGGGACCCCACGCGATACTTGGTGCAGCCTTGATGAAAGCCCTTGGGACCCTCCATACAGCTGCCAGCTCCAGACCCTCAGGAGACGCTCCACTTCCTGCCCAGGGAGGGGGGCGAGAGGGGGCATGAGTGCTTCTCACGGGCGCCTCAGGGCCACGGGTTCCCAGGGCAGCTGGAGAACAGGGGACAGAGCCAGAGAGGCCAAGAGCAGACAAGCTGCTGTGGACCTCCCTCTGGTCTCCCCGAAGCCCCGGCAGGGGGCCTCCTGGTGCAAAGAATAGAACAGGGCAGCTGCTCCCGGAGCAGGAGGCCCTCGAGGGCCCTGGGGAACTACAGCCACCTGCACCTTGTCCCCCTGGAATTAACTCTGCTACAGGTGTTAGTGGCAGAAGGGAAAAACTGATAGTCAGCGAGGTGATACGTGGGGAAGGATCTGCGTGTGCAAAGTGCAAGTGACGCTGTCAGTAACAGAACAACCGAGGATGGGAAAGGAAACAGACTGGCCCTTGGAATGTGAGGACGTGCCCGGGAACCTTGACTCAGCTACCGGCTAATCGCGAACTTGGGCCAGCCCTTAGCCTGGCCCGCGCTCCCGCAGGGCCTGCGTCTGCCTGTGTCTCCGCTCACAGCACAGCGTCTCGGAACCTGTTACACACTCTTTGTCTGTCCCCTCCCCCCACCGTGGACTGAGCTTCTTCCTCTCCAATGTTCCCCGTCCCTAGTGCTGGGGCCTCTCCCAGGTGGGGAGGCCGTTCTCCCCCACCTCCTTCAGACCTCTCCCACCTGGTCCCCATCTTCTCCCTTCTTCTCTGCATCCCGGTTACTGTGGCTGGTGGGGAGGTGCCGGGCGAGTGCCGGGCCCAGAGGCCTCCGATTCCAGCTCCAGAGCTCGTACTCTCAGTAACGAGGCTCACAGCCAAGCTTCTCCGACTCGAACGGGAAGGCTTATTTAATTAAGCGTGGGTTCCTGGGCCCCAACACGTGAGTTTCTGATTGGAAGGCGGGGCCTGAGAACCTGCATTTTAAGACGTTCCCAGGGGATGCTGGTTCAGGGCCCACACTGTAGGAGCCGGCACTGCGAGGCTCCTGGCCGCGGATGCGGACAGTCTTCTCAGGAGGGCAGCGCACCTGCCCCTCCTCCCAGTGGAGAGTCTGGGCACGGGCACCCTGGGACGCAGAGGACCGAGTGCAAATGGAATTCCCACGGTGTGTCCTGACAGCAAAGGGGGCCCAGGGAGCTTAGAGCCCCTGGAGTGGCACCGAATCCAAGTTTTAGATTCCGAATTCCCATCCCACTGCGGCCAGTTTGCTGCTCTGGGATTGTCACCTGTCTCAGACTCTCTTTCCTCATCTGTAAAATGGGGACAGTAACACCTTCTCCGGAGCACCATCCTGAGGAGTACATGTTGATGCTCTTCTCACGGTGTCTGGTGCTCGTTAGGTGTTCAGCTGCTGATTCGAGTTTGAACTCCACCGGAAAACGTCCATCAGCCTGTGTCTGTTTCTGTCTACGGGGTGGGGGGGAGCGGGGTGCTGGGGTGTGGGCAGATGAATTCCATGGGACGTTCGAGGACACGTTCATCTCCATGCTGTGCACGGGTCATGGGTAAGGGATGCAGGTGTGACCCTGTAATTTCCTTGGATAATTCAGGGCCGTAGCGTTTGGGTGGGGCCCTAGCACTCAGCTCAGCATTTTGCATTGTCTCTTTGAGTTTGGCACTGGGTGGGAGTGGACGGCCCTCTGTGCCTGTGGGGAGAGCCGGGGCCTGCATCCTGGGGAGGGAAGACAGCAGCCAGGGCAGCAAAATGGAGCTCCAGGGTGGCCTCAGGTATCAGTGGTAAGATCTGAATGCCTCCGGTTACCACGCCCCGACCTAGTCCTCAGCCTGGGGAGATTGTTTACCCTCTCCGGCCACATCCTTCCCTCCGAAGAGGGGAAATGAGTCCGGCAATTGTTAGGACCCCGTGAGATACCACATGTGAGCACTTGCAGCAATGCCCGGAGCATGGTGAGTGCTCAGTGCCTGCTAGTTGTTTTTGTTATTTGTCGAGAACCTACTGCGCTCCAGGCCCATGACAGAGGTCCCTGCCCGGGTCCTCAAGTGCGAGAACGCTTCAGGTACAGGGAGTCGGTGGTGGGCAGGACAGCCTGCGATTCATTCTGCGCGTTCCTGAAATTCACGAGGTGCGCAGTGGAGACGGGCTTGTCTGGGAGGGTGGCCCCGCTCATGAGCGGTCAGCAGAGACTTCGATCCAGTCTGGATGGACTCAGTGCTCTGCCTGTCCATAGTACCCTCTGCCCTGACCTTCCTCATCATCAAATGCTGATAATTCTAATTTGTATGGATAAGGAGAACGTTGGTTTAATAGTTATGGAGTAGGATAGTAGACCTGAATCTATAGTTTTCAGACACTTAGGTTTGATTTCTGTGTCTCAAATACTAATTTATATTCACAAAATACTTTCATTATACAAATGCAGTGGTAGAGAGACTTGTATGTATATGGGGATTTTTTAAAAACTTGAGTTTATAAGTGGTTTGGCAGGTTGCAGAAACATCGTCTGTTGCTCTTTTTAATATATCTTGAGCGTGCTATGACACATCCGGAAATAATTTGCTTCAGGAAAAAAAGCCTGCTCTCTCTTTCTCCCCCAAATGCAAGTGTAAATATTACTTTGATGTATGTAATTGCCGCAACCATCTCCATTTGAAGGAAGGCTTCTAACCCTTCCATCTCCCTTCTTTCGCTATTGTCAAGAAATAAGAAAAATGGATTTAAAATGCATTATTTAAATGGATTTAATGTAAACATTGACGAACAGCCACAAATTTTCCTTTGCTTAAATGTGGTCTTGGAAATATTTCAAGTGTTCTGTTTCAGAGGCATTCATTTACTCTGCTTAGGAAAAATATTTCTTCACGTAGATTTTAGGGTCCCAAGAACGCTCCTTCTGCCTGGCCCATAGTGGGAATTGAACGGATGCTTGGCGATCAACTTGGGTTGAAGTAGATTGGGATTCAAGGTCTGGTACGGCACTCAGAGACCCTCAGGCACAGAGATTGCTCCTGCAGGTCCTGATGGGGGGGGTTCTGTCTGGTACAGGGAGATCCCCACCCCCTGTAGGCATCGGGGTGTTGCCCAGGATCAGATTGCTGGTCAGTGACACAGCTGGACCTGATCGGGATTGGCCTCTTGTTAGGGATTTTACCACGTCCACCCCAATTCCGAGCTCCCAGACATGGCCGTGAGCTCCTGCTGCCAGGGCTCGGTCTTGCACCTCTGCACTCTTGGTGACCTCTGTAAGCTTGATGTCATAGTTGCTCAGTCAGCTTCTTGCTCAGTGGACAAAGGAAAGAAACCACACAGGCAGGTGACTCCCCGCAGTCTCCTTGCCCACCAGAACTGGGCGTGGACTTGCGGCCTGATCGGCAATGCTATTCTATCACACTGACCATGTGCACGCGTGTGTGAGATGGTCAGCTTATTTCCCATAGAACCAAATATTTCACTTCTCTATTAATTGTCAAGAAAATGTTCTCACCTAGTTTTTGGCACAGTGGCGGTGCTCGGGAATTTCAGGTCTCCGGACCCTTCTTTCCTCTCCCTTCCGTTGTCCCTGGGGTGAAAGGAAGGAGAGTGTGGTCAGGAAAGAGCGAGGGCCAGGGCAAAACAATTGAGTAAGTGCCTTCGTTCATAGAAACAACTGCCCAGTCACACGCATTTCCCAAATTTGTCTTTGTGCAGTTCCGTTAGGGTTAAAAAAAATCCGTGTTTTAAATAACTCAATTGCTTTGGACTATTATTATTATTTTTTAAACATAAGAGCTTTATATTACAAGGGGCAGCAGTGGGGGAGAGAGGTGCCCCAGTCAGGATGAGCATGTGGCTGGCTCCCTGATGTCGGCAGCGTCGCTGTGGGACCTGCCTAGACTCTACACGTCTCCATGACGTTGCTCTGTGAGGTGAAGGGCGTCACCCCCTCAGCACACGGACAGACAGGGACAGCACCCACAGGCCAACAAATGTTCTAGATGTTTTTCTACCTCAGCTGAGTTCTACCCCAAACTAGCAAATGTCACCAGGGGAGGAAGGCAGACTATTGATTTAACAACAGCATATTGGATGCAGGTAATATTGATTGAACTCCTGTGTAGTTTAGGCACTTAGCTGTGGCATTTTCTATGAAGAGATGAAATTATTGTAAATGGAGTTGATTTGTTAAAATTCATTAAGGCCTATGTTATCACAGACTATGTGTGTTATACCTTATTGAAGGAGCCACGCAGAATATACCTTCTTTTCTTTTGCAGGTGCTTCATGAGCATCGTCGCTGCTTTACTGACATACTCTTGTCCCCAGTGCCTTCCACCTGGTGAGCGCCTGTGACTCATTGCTCCCAGGTGTTCTCACCTTGGGACAAACTTCTTCTGGGACCCTGGACTTTCTCTACTTACTCCCCTGGGGTTCTTTCAGGCACCTTTCTCTTCTCAGACACCCGCTGTCATCTTGTCCTTCCCTGTCACTGGTGCTAAGCCCCGTTATGTCGCCTCCTCAGAGAAACCTCTTAGATGGGAGACTGGCTTCTTATAGCACTCGTCTGAGTTGAAATCAAACTTTCATTATAACTTGCATTTGTAATCATGTCCGATGAGCCTACTGGTCTACCTCTCGATGAGGAGAGCTTTGCAGAACTCGGCCCCCCGGGGACCTCGGTCAGTGCCTGGACCACAGTGAGCTCAGGTGGACATGCGCGATGGTACACCTGAAGAAAGGGCTCCGGGAGCTGCCTAACCATGGCCACACCTCTCTTTCCATCCAGGATTTTGTGTGTAGCCTGTTGGCTGCAATGTGATGAATAGAAAATTGAGTAACTTGTGTGTGTATCTCTCTCTCTCTCTCTCCCTCTCATTCAATCACCTATCTATGAGAGAGAGGAAGGGAGGAAGAGAGGGAGAGAAACATTGATGTGAGAAACACTGGTCTATGGCCATACCACCCTGAACGTGACTGATCTTGTCTGATCTTGGAAGCTAAGCAGGGTCGGGCCTGGTTAGTACTTGGATGGGAGATAGAGAAACATCAGTGGGAGAGAGAAACATCAATAAGTTGCCTCTTACACATGCCCCAGTCAGGGACCAAACCTGCAACCCAGGCGAGTGCCCTGACTGGGGATTGAACTGGTGACCTTCTGCTTTGTGGGACGATGTCCAACCAACTGAGCCACACTGGCCATGCTGTTTGAATATATTTTGTCATTGTAAATGATTGCACTATTTCATTATTTCTCACTTTACTTTTTCATTATTTTCTGATTTCAAAATTACTTAATTGTGTTACTTCATGTATTTCATTATTTAACTGTTGTTATACCCAGGGAGAATATGATTTATAAATCTGTATCTGCATTCTGATTCTAAGTTCTAGATGTGAATGTCTGTCTGCTGGGCCGTTCCAGCTGGTTGTCCTCCAGCGGACCAAGGCCCTTCCTCCAGTGGGCGGCTCCATCGCCCAGTTAGTTTCCTAACTAGCACCCTGGGCGTCTTCCCCTGCATCATCGCCAGGTCCTAACAGTCTGTTCCTAAATGTCTCTTGTTCTGTCTCCGCCCTTCACTCCCATGAACAACACACAGTCTGAGTTCTCTTCTCATTTGTTTCCAGCCTGGCCTCGGTCCAGGCTCCTGGCCTCTTGACCTCCACCCCATCCACCAAACTGCAGCACGAACCCCTTTCTCATGAGCAGAACACTATCAGTCACCTCCCGCTGGAAAATCCTCAGCCACTTCTGGAGCTTCAACCTCATTATCTAACCCAGTACTTCCTAAGCCTCGGAGTCACGCCATCGGCCTGAACGCCAGAGTGGCTGCCGGAATGGCTGAGTGCTCCAGCACACTTCTGCGTAACACCCAGCTGAAGAGCCAGCCCTGTCTTCCTGTGCGCTTTGATCTCTTCAACCCAGTCGTTGATGTCCCCTCCTCCAATCCAAGCACAGGATGTTGGTCCCTCTCGAGAACTTGGAAAACATTGACACTGTCCCCTGCTGCGTGTCCTGTATGATCACCAGGTTGACTGGAGAGCCAGGTTTCTCACTTCTGTAGAAAAGACACCATCTTCCTTTCTTGGCCTCTTGAGGAGGAACCCCACCCGAAGGCCAGGGTCCTCAACAATAGGTGTGGTCGGTCTGAGAAGTGTGGTGGCCCCAGCTGAGTGTTCAAGAGTCTCCTGGGACACTGGTTTGAGTCCAGCCTAGCCAACATGATACCGTATTTATTTGCAGGGTCCTCCAAGGCCATGACCTCTACTCTGCCACCTGTCACTTTTGTTTCAGCCTCACTGTGAACTTTAACTTGGGCGTCCATAAGATTTCCTTTTCCTTTATACAATCCAGGAGACTTAAACTTCATGGATTTTTTTCTTCCTTATAAATCCACAGGACTTTTCCTCCCTGACATGATTTATCAATTCTTCTATGATTATCGCTTCTCTTAGTTTCTGTTGTCACGCCCTCAGAAGGACAAGAAGACACGGCTGTGTTAGCATCTTCAGAGTCGTCACATGAACTGTTGTTTCTTCCTCAAACATGGTGCCGCACTGTATTAGCCGCCCTTTGCTGTGTGTCAGTGTCATCACAAACATAAACCACATACACTTTTTATCCCACAGATTGTGTGGGTCAGGAATCTAGGGAAGGCTTTCCCGGGTCCTCTGTTTCAGGGTTTCTGTTAAGGCTGCCGTCAAGGTGTCAGCCAAGGTTGGGGTCTCATCTGAATCTTGCCCGGAGAAGGGCTGAGTCTAAGAACACGGGACTGTTGGTAGGATTCAGATTCTCAGGGCCGGTTGGACTGAGAGCCTCAGTTCTTTGGTGTCAGTGGGTGGGAGGCTGTGCCCAGTTCCTTGTCACATGGGCCTCCCTCACATGGCCGCTTGCTTCACTGAAATGTGCACAGCAAGAAGACAAGAGGAAAGTTACAATCTCATGAAATGCAGCCATGGAAGTGATGTCCCATCAATTTGGACACACCCGATTGTCTGGAAGCTGTCTCAGGCTTGCTCACAATGAGGGGAGGAGAGTACACAGGGAGGGACATGAGCACCACGACATGAGACAATTGGGGACCACACACATCAGCACACACTCAGTGTGGAAGTATGAGTAGAGATGACCCTTTTATAATACCCAGGAGGCTGTGTGTGTGTGTGCAAATTTACAAACCAAATCAGCTAGAATCTTTTTTGCAGCCTATTGTTTAAAAGCCTTCTATGACTCCTGAAAATGTCAGGCCAATTTTCAAAAGTTTTCCAGCTAATTCTAGAAGACTCCAGCCAATACCAGAATAAACTGGTTCTCCAACTCTGGCCTGTGAGAGGCCATTGTAATAATTTCCTACAGCAGAATGCCATACCTCCAGCCCCCTTAAAATAGTCACCACATGAATGGTCACATACGACTTTCTCCGAGTGATTGACACCGCTTTGTTCATTTCCTTTGGTCCCTTCGCTGTGTGGGTGGCTGCGTGCCTGTCCACTGCCCTCTCCCTGGGCACCCGAGCGCAGCTCAGTTTCTCGGGGGTTGGATGCATTGCCGCCTGGGTGCTGGGCACGTTGTACATGTTTGCACTGCTGAACCCGCGAAAAACTGAAGGGTGCGCACAGCCTTCTTGCCTCCGGATTTTTTTAAAAGCTCGGATTTGAATATATTTACCTATGGCCTTTTCTCTCAAGCTCACACGGCCCCGCCATTCGCTCCTTGCCATCTCACAGTTTTTACTGGCCCCTGAAGGTTTGAGCTGGTGATTCTCCCCAGAGAAGCTCGAAAGGAATATCTACTCAATAATGAGTTGACCACAATGCGATGTGTTGATTACTATTCCCCACCCAGCCACATCTTTGGGCTGGTTAATTTTATGTGTCAACTAGGCGAGGCTATGGTGCCTGGGTGTTTTGGGTGACAGCTTGTTTCCTGAGCCCCCAGCCCCATCCTGGACCCCTTTTCTTCTACATTCTCGTCAGCTCCTCCTGAAAGGCTATCTCTGGGCGTGGCAGCAGAGCCCTCTGGTTCGAGTCCTTTGTTGAACTGACTTGACATTGGGAAGCAGACTCTGGTGCCATCCTCAGATCAAATAGCTATTGAGTAGTTCTTGTACTGGGTATTGTATTAGGACTGGGGACACAGGTGGATGAGACACAAAAGGTCCCACCCTCACGGAGCTGGCAGCCATGTGAGAGGGAACCAAGCTAGTGAGCAAGGAGCTCACCCCTCTCTCACAGCTTTGTTCACTGCCGATGTGACTGGCTACCTGTCCACCTGGCCTGATTTTCCCTTGGGCTCAGCTCTGACAGCTGCCTGTTGTGTTGACACCTGGCCAGGAGATAGCCCCTCACTGACCCTCCCTCAGGCCATTTGGCTCCCTCCTCTGGATTCAGGAAGAGGCTCTAGCTTCTCTACTGAAATGGGACAGCTTCAGTTTTCAGGGCTTTCCCCTGCATCATCATTCTTGGTGGGCATCTGTCCCACCCAAACTCTGAGCTCCTGTCATTCCCCTCTCATGGAAGAACAGCCCAGGAAATGTCTGTGCACAGGAAGATCTGTGGATGGGGTCAAGAATCTCTTGAGAGAAT